ATCCGGCCCTCTGTGTATACAAAATTACAATAAAGTTTGTCTAAGCCTAATTATGACAATAACCCGAAATGTAATGTAACAAAAACTGGCTGAGCATCTAGAAAAGTGAGGTTCAGGGCCAAATCAAAGCCCACGTCTCATCACGATGTTGTGAGGTCATGTTAGACTAGCTGTAAAAGCAGCAAACTCCTCAAACATCTGGCAGCTTGACCTGAAGAGTGGAGCATCTCCAGGCTGCTGTGGATGGAAGTTTCTACTGAAGATTTTTCCACCAAAAGAGCACAACAATAGCTCTTAGGGGGTTGGAACGTTTTTTAAATTAAAGATTTTTTTTGATGAGTAAAGGTTGACTTTGATTCATCAGCAATAAAATCAATGTCTTTTTTTCTAGATCTCCACACTTTTTTCAGAAGACCTCCACAGAAGGAAATCCCCCCCTTATTTTCCTACTCACCTGTACAGGTAATAGAAGAAGGAGAGCAAGTAGAAGCCCAGCTTACACCAGGACTCCTTCTGACAGTAGTTAAGAATGTCAGCATTCATCACGCTGACGGGATCGTACATCACTTCTGATCCGTCGGCTGGCCGATGAAAAAACCTGAAAGAACAGCAAGTTCTGCTCATCCACTCAAAACACTGTGAGCAGACATCTGCTGTGGGACCGTACCTCCACAGATGGTAGAAGAGCAGCGGGATATTTAGGCCAAGCGTGACCCACTCTCCAGCACACATGAACATCAGGCAGAAAAGGCCGTGGATGGAGTACTCTGGTACCACCAACTGGTTAGAACAGACACAGGGACTCTGTTTTACATATTTGCCATGTTACATAGTGAACACTTTTTGGGAAACCTGCATTGCTTCTTAATGTGATACAACTATATAGTCGTAGCATGTAAAGTCCCACTGTGAGGCAAACACCTTCACACTGGAGGTGTTAAAGTTACTCATGACAACTCGCTGCTGCAAAAATATACCCAGAGGTACCGGTATATAGACCTGATTTTAATTTAATAAGGTTGTAAAAATCCCACAAAATGTTTTTAAAACACATTTAAAAGGTGCTTGCTTACCTCCATAGCAAACTAAAAACTCCCAGTGATTCATCATCACTCATTGTAGACACGTATAAAAAACTCAGAGGGTTTTTTTGTTGTTGTTTCAGACTTTTAATGCCCCAAAGAAACTGGCACAATAAAACTGCCCTATCTGTTAAAGGTATAGAGGATGATCATTTATTTCTGCTTGGATCATCTAAATAAGTGGTCCTCCTAATTGTCAATCATTCTGTTGATATGTTTAGGAAAGGCCACCCTGGCTATCTTTTTCTGCGCATGCGCACTTTCAGGCATATATGTGTGGTGAGCTATGGTTTCAGCCAGTCATTAAAGCTCACCTTTCCCCCCGGGGTTCTTTGAAAATGGCCAAGGGTCGTAAGAGAAAAAGTGTCTATGAAGTGTATGAGAAGAAAAGAGAAGCCTCAGAAGAGGCTGATATATCCCAGAATGCTTTGCACAGAGAGCTCTGCTCGCAAAGCATTATGGGATTTGCTGTCACAGCGGCCCACAACAGTGGCGACTAATGACAAAGATGGTGCAGGCACCGAGCGGTGGAGGGGTGACCAATGGGGACTGAAACTTAGTGATCATGTGTCCAAACGTTTCAATCCCCGCTCTATATAGTGATTGAGGGATTTAATAGACAGCCCTTAAATAGACAGGGATCTAGCACGCATTTAATAGGCGTTCCCTGTGGGAGCGGGTACAGGGTCGTGTATGTGCTTATTTTCTCAAAGTGGAGAGGCTTTTAAAAAGCCTTTTAAAAAATGTGTGATAATCCTGCACAATACCTTTAAACAATGCTTCTAATTATGCATCTGTTTGTTTATCTAATTTGTCGGTTTCTAACCTGATCCTCTTTGTTTGAGCTCATGAAATAAGTATCCTGTTGTTGAAACAAAACCCTGCTGATCAGTGGAAACACAACTGGTGATGTTATAGAGCACAGGGGCCTGCAGATAATAGTGAGGGGAGCAGAAGAGTTCAATATAGCCTCCCTACTCTCAGTTTGATGCAGCAGTTTTTGATGATTGTCCAACCATGGCTGTGAGCCGCTGGACTCCTGCTAAAGGCTCCGTACTCTTTAAAACCCAAAGAGCCATTTAGCCCTGAGCCCAGCCAAATAATAACAATATAGAGCCACAAATATTAGATTAACTTTTAATAAAACTCAACTTATTTTTGCTAATCATCCTCTAACTGTATTAAAACTGATTTAATTTTAAACAACCAATTGTTTTATGTAATTTTTAAGCTAGTGACAAGAAAAATAGACATAAGAATATGGCTAGTACTTTAATGTCTTTCTGTTGTCAACATTTAATTGAAATATTCTTAAAAAAGCTTCTAAGAATGGTATTTGTTGTTAAACTATATTCAAACTATAAGCTGGTTATTCGTCATTATTAGACACTATAAAGATTCAAAGAACCACTTGTGGCTCCGGAGCCACAGGTTGCAGACCCCCCGTCCACCTTAGCCCGTCTAAATGCAGAGTTTCTCTTATTCTATCTATCCTTTGTTTTGCTGATATACCTTTTTATCATATTTTTTATTTTTTTTTAAAGAGTCCATATCACTTATCAACTTCTTTGCACTTTTAACAATATTGTAAAGTTATTCATGCAACAAAATCATCCCCAAAGTGGTATTTTGCTTGATTCATGCATGTCTGAGTAACGTTTTATGTGGAGTAGTGATCATCTGCCGCCTCCAGGAAGTAACTACCTTGACGTCGCTTGCCCAGTAAACAACATTCACACTTTCTCTGATTAGAGATCAATGATGTGAGGGAGGGCATGATCGTTTGAGCTCAAAGTTGAGATGAAGCAGCTCTTTTAACACAATGGCAGTGCAATTGATCACATTTGATGTATAATTGCAAATTAAGATAAAAGTAAATAAAAAAAGCGTGATCACAGAGGCCCTTGGCTTTAAGTTTTATTATATATTCAACCAGGGTAATAAACCAACTTTCTTACGCCAGCCCTATATATGGCCATATATTGTAACTATTTTTTTCTTTTCTTTTTTTTTTTTTTTGCAACAAAAAAGTCCTGCGAAAATGGACTCTGGAGGAAAGAGGATTAATTTTAAACAAAAAAAAAAACTTGCAGCCAAATTAGGATATGGCTGTGGTAAGTGATAAGGAAAATGAACATTAAAAAGAAATACTGGTTAAAAATATTATAATTTTGATATTTAATCAAATCTGCACAGTAACTTTGAATATTTGTTCTTTTGGCCGTGAAAGGTCTCAGACTATGTTCTCAGCAAAGATCTCCAGAGGAGGAATGTTGCTATGCAGTAAATAAAGGCTCTAAGTCATGAATTTACCGAAAACCCACAAATTCTAAGTTGACTTCAGAAGGCTTAAAAAGCATGATATAGTAAAACCCCCAGAAAAAAGGTGTCTTGTATTGTTTGTACAGTTTACTATGCTACAAACGTATATTTGAAAATACAATTAACTGATTTTAAATAAATAAGGAAACTTCAAAGTTGTGGTCAGAACTAGGAAACAGGCTAATGAAACATAAAATAGAGGAACACAGGTGAAATTATCAACAAAGGGCTTTCAAATGCAACAAGGTGCCATGTAATAAATGTAAATAAGAAAATGAAAGCTTCAAAGAAAAAATAACTGACTATCATACCTGGGACGGAAAAGTGAAGCGAAGGAAAGCCAATGTTTCAGGATTACCAGGTCAAAGTGAAACTGAAAAGCATACCGTCACGCATCTCCTCTCCTGCAGCATTCAAGGTTAACTCAAATTACATTGTCATGGTGGCAACAATGTTAAAAAGTGCTTCATCTAAATTCTGGAGGAGACGATTGGTTAAACCACATACTACAAATACTATCTGTATATCAGATACGATCTGATATCCAGCATAATGGATAGACCTATTCAAGCATTCAGCTATCAGTCAGAATTATAGCTTTTTTTTTTAGAAGCTGCATGTCTGCTTGGGTACATCTATACCAGCTATAACATGAAAAGCTTTCGATTTACCTTTAAAAGGAAGTACCTGTTTGCATAGCTTAAGCCATGCTACAGACTCTTAATTGGATTTAGATTTGGACTTGGACTAGACCATACGGACATATGTTTTGATCTAAACCTTTCCACTAGAGCTCTGGCTGCGTGATGTAAAAATAATCCATCATCTAGTAGTGTTAAAGAACTGCCTTTTTAAAAATATGTGAGTAATATTATGATGAATATCACTACTTGTACCTGGGCTAAATTTCTGTCTACTATACCGTCGGCAAGTACCTTCACTAAAGAAGAACAGCACGTTTTAACAAAAAAATTCACCTGTTTCACTTCTAGAGTTTATGTTAAAAGGAGATTTCTTGTTCGTACACAAGCTTTGTGGTTTTTATAGTATTTTCTATCCACATTAAGAAGCACATTACCCTGTTCTATATACTATATGAAAAAAATATTAGGAAAAGGGTTTCTTCTGTCTGAAGTTATTATTATCTAAATATAATTTATTGGTATTGTTTTCTTTTACGTTAGTCTGTAAAATATCAATATTCAGAGATAACCTTATATAAAATGGATTGATTACATCATTTTGGATTAATTAAATTAAATTAAATTTGATGTTTCAATTAGTTACTCTGTGGTTGAATAGCTGTTCTACCAAATAATTTTGTAATTTTAATTCCATGTTTGTTTTTATGATGATTTTTCTCTTTTACTTGAGTAAAAATATGTTTTCCTATTCTTATTTGAAGTCATCTATCCACCTTTGCTTATTCTAGAGTAGAAATATATATATA